GGAATTGCATTATAGCCAACACAAGTTTGCATTTTAGAAATAGCATTCCTCTATTCGTCAGTCACATTATAGCCAATTTGCGTTGTAGCAGAACCGACTGTACTCCAAAAATAAGAGAACCTTAAACATTAAATTTCCTGTAATTCATCTGAAATCCAAGATACGGTATTGAATTCTGTCAAAATGCAGTAACTCAGTGAGAGTGACCTACAATGGACACAAGAGTGTGAAGTGTTTTTATTAAAATGTCTGATTCTACATAACTGATCTGAATGAGCTGAGAATTTGAAGTTTCAAGGAATTAAACTGAAATATTCCTAAACTCATGATCCAGAATTTGAACAATTTTCTTCATGCCTAGCAGTAAATCCGAAGGAAAACACTTTTAACTCATTCAAAACTCATTGACTTGCACAAAGTTAAAATCAGACCCAATAATTGTGGCATTTGATCATCCTTGTAAAGCTGGTCTCTTGTAGCATATCCACCAGTCTGCTGAAACAAATGCAGGATTCAGAAGACTCAGTTGCCAGTCATAACAAGCAAATGTTCATTTTCAAGTTACATCTGTACGTATGGAAGCATATTTAACCTTACATGTTTTCTCAATAGGATATTGGACAATCTTATCAAAAGACATTGCTTTTGCTGTTGCAGCATCTTCTACAATAGTAGTTATGTTGCCATCTGAAAGGCAACCAATGACTGACTAAGAGATAGATTGAATTGGATTGTAAGCAGACAACGAGGCTATAAAGAAGGCCAAGCTACTAAACCTGTTCAGACATCTTCACTGTGATGTTGCCAACCACCCTTTCCAACAAAGATATCAGACTCTCTTTATCTGTAATTATTCACTTTCTTCACATCAGAATGAAGTTTCTAGGCAAAGAGATTTTAACATGCACAAATATAAGATAATGATTGTTGAAACAGGAAACATAAAATGATTAGAAATTAGAAATTGAAGGCATAAATATTAGCAAAGGTGAAAAGAAAATAGTGACATTTGGACATTCATTAAGATTATCTAATCAATACGGTCAATTATGTATTCAGATGCATTGATTATAATTAAAAGCAGCTTTTTATAACTTCTGTAGAAAACTGGGGAGGTCATAAAGCATTTTGGGCACCCTAAATTCAAAAGGATGCTGAAGCATTGAGGAATGTTTCAATGCTCAATGAAAGTTCAAAGAGTAGCAAGGATCATCTAGATTTAGGACTTGCAGAGCTGAACTTCTTTTTCACTGAAGAAAGAATCATTCAGAAGGAATATGACCCACATCTTTAAAATGTTCAGAGGCATTAACAAATGTAGAAGGAAATCATGTGGACGGCGCATGTACAACTTTATTACATGAGAATTATATGTATAAGCTCTAAGTCATAGAGTTTTCTTTTCATAAAACAGCACATTAATTGCAACAGACTCTCAACTGATGTATTATTTAATTTCTGTTTTGAAAAATCAATAAATGTCTGGTTAGGGACAGGTTTGCATGTTTTGAGTAAACAACACAGGTTGGAATAGACAACACAGTGTGGAGATGGAACACAGCAGGTCAGGCAGCATCAGAGGAGTAGGAATGAAGAAGTTCTGAAAAAGGGTCCCGACCCGAAACATCAACTTTCCTGCTCCTCTGATGCTGCCTAGCCTGCTGTGTTCCTCCAGCTCCACACTGTGTTGTCTCTGACTCCAGCATCTGCAGTTCTTGCTATCACAGGTTGGAATAGGCATGGTAAGCCGAATGGCTTCCTTTGTTGCTATATTCTTCCATGGTTCAAAGCATAGCTAGGAAAATGACTGGATCAGTTGGGGCTATATTCACTGCAGTTTCGAAGAATGAAGGGGAATCTCATACAAAGCTATAAAATTCTAACAGGACTTGACAGGGTAAATGCAGGAAGGAAGTTCCCATTGGTGGAGAGTTCAGAACCAGGGATCACAGTCTAAGGACAGACCTTTTAGGATTCAGATGTGGAGAAACGTCTTCAACTAGAGAGTGAGGGGCCTGTGGAATTTACTACCACAGAAAGCCATTGAGGCCAAAACATCGAATGTTTTCAAGAAGGAGATAGATATAGTTCTTAGGGCTAAAGGGATCAAAGAATATGGGGACGAAGCGAGAACCGGAATGGTTATGATTATATTGAATGACAGAGCAGGTCTGAAGGGCCAAATGGCTTACTAATGCTCCTATTTTCTATGTTTCTATGAAGTACTCTTTGCAGCATGGTAGTTTTGGGCTATGACCATATAATTCTTTCGAAAAAATCTTGTCAAGGGTGAATAATGCCGGTTGTATGCTTAAATAGATATTGAAATTTTGCTGATTTACTTTTGGAAGACAAGTAAAAACTACACAAACTTCATTCAAGAGATTAACAAGTTGGATAGACTCCATAAAAGGTCAAATTGTGGATGATCTATGGAAAGAATGTGTCTAATGGGTCAAATGCCATTTGTCCTGACCCAAAACGTCAGCTTTCCTGCTCCTCTGATGCTGCCTGGCCTGCTGTGTTCATCCAGCTCCACACTGTGTTATCTCTGACTCCAGCATCAGCAGTGCTTACTATCTCTGAGTTGCTTGTTCTGTGCTTTCTTATGCTATTAGCACACACCACTTCAGTGCAACAAGCACATGAAGGAAGTGGCTAGAAAAGCAAAAAAAGGGGAAAAATCATTTTAAAATGACAACAATACTTGTCAAAGTCAGGAACTTCAGCCTTCAACAAAGCACATATTGAGAGAGTGATGAAATACTACAGTTCTACCTGGCAGGCTGAAGAAAAAATTCTTGTCTTGAATCTAGAACATATGCAGACCAAAGCCATATAGATCAGTGGGATAAATAAAAATAACTACTTCATGACAGAATCCATTCTGTAAAATACTAAAGAGATGAATGCAGGCAGATAGACTTAGCAGGTAAGGACTTCTGCACATTTTTAAATGTTCCCTGCTGCTCAGCTTATCAACTCAGGGTTAGTTTATTTGTTCTAGATATCAATGTTTATTCAACCATTATAACAGCTGAGATTTGTTGTATCACTCTGCAACATAGTGTCAGTAGAAGGGGAGTATTTTCTTGAGTTTAGGAGTACATGAAAATAGCTGACTTTTTAAGCAAATTGATAAAAATTACAAATGTTCAATTAACTATTTTAGAATTATGACAGAGAGAATTGTGCAGTTACAGCAAGACCTTCCTATATGGAGCTACTGCAATGCTGCAATGAATGCAATGTACAATTATTTCAGGTGACAGCTAGACAGAATAGGTGCCTACAGCAAGATTCCTTTTATTTTTTCACAGGACATGGTTGTCACTGGCTAGATCAGAATTTTTTTTACCCATTGCTAAATGCTCTTGAATTTAATGTGCAATATTATTTCAGGATACCCTGAAAGTAACACATACTATTATTTGAGGACATGTTGAATGTAACATGAACTGTTATTTCAGATTTCTGCTGAACAAACTATTCAATGTAATATCAGATCTTGCTGAATATAACATGCACTATTATTTCAGATCTCCTTATAGTAAGGTGCACTGATATTTCAGATCTCACTAGATATAATGTGCAATCTTATTTCGGATCTTCCTAAATGTAATGAGTACTGTTATTTCAGATCGCACTGAATATAATGTGCATTATTATTTCAGATCTCCTTAATGCAACTTGCACTGTTATTTCAGATCTCCCTGAATACTGCGTGCATTGTTCTTTCAGATCTCAATAATATAATGTGCACTACTACTTCAGATCTCTTCAACATAATATGCATTGTTGTTTCAATGAGGCAAAGGTTTTATGAGGACGACGGTGATGAGGGCAGATTTAAAGGACAGAGGGACAACACCTGAAGAGAGAGCGAGCCTCTTTTCTCAATGTACTGTGCATAACAATGACGTATTTGCCTACTTCTAAAAGACGCAATCCTTTCAAGGATTTTCTGTTCAGCCACTCTGGTATACACCGTAGGCAACGCAAATATGGGCCATGAGGTTTATATTACTTCACATTGACAATAATCCAAATACACAATGCTCGGTTACATTCATCCTAAAACCCAGGGTTTCGAAGCGTATGCAGTGAAACTCCAGAAAATGAAATGATTTTTTTCTCTGGACTAAAGTATCAAATCCTACCAAATCCGCATGGACAATGATAGCATTAACCAGAAAAGTTTCCAATTGTTATGTAACCGTTTATGTGACCAAATCCCTGCCTCCCACAACATGTCACAGTATTAACCCTGTACGCAAAGTCACACCTTCATATCTCCTTAAATACCATCGATCATTAGGACGCAGTTTGGGTTGTTTACTTGTTTTAGTGCTGCAAGTTTCTATTACTTGGCGTTTTTGATCGATCAACAGCCGCAAGCAAATTACTGGTCCAAATTATTTAGGAGGAACATGAGCAAAAATTGTGTCCTTGTCTATTCACTTGTTCACATTTCACCATGTGCTGAGCATTATTTAACAGGGACAAAGGGTCACCGGACCCGAAACATTAACTCTGTTTTTTCCTTCACGGATGCTGCCGGACCAGCTGGGCTTTTCCAGCAACTTTGCTTTTGTTCCTGATTTACAGCATCCGCAGGTCTTTCGATTTTTATTATTTAACAGGGTTCAGACTGGACCATGTGTAGAGATTACTTCAAAATTCATAGTGGCGTACGTAGTGATTACTCAAACAAGTCCAAAAAGACTTGCATATGTATACCACCTTTCATGACCCGTGGATGTTTCAAAGCACTTTACAGTCAATAGTATTAATGAAGTTGTAGTCATTCTTTTAAGAAGTATGATCAATCTGCACACAGCAAACCTCCATAAACAGCAATGCGATAATGACCAGATAATCTGTGTTTGTGATATTGATTGAAGCATAAATGTTGGCCAGGACACTGGGGCGAATGCCCCAATTTCCCTTCAAAGAAATGCCGTGGTATAATTCAGATATTTTCTAATGCTAATACACACCTCTGCAGCCGGAATGTCCTATGCGCATCTGAGGGCATAGAGCAGGGCCTTGTTTTAACATCTCATCCAAACAAAAACACCTCGAACAGTGTAGCACTCCATCATTGAAACGTCAGCCTTGATGTCTGTGTACATTCTGGAGTGAAATTTGAAAACACAGAACTTTATGATTGAGTAATGAGAATGCACGGACTGAACCATGTATGACATAAATTCAGAGTGAATATATATGGAGATTAAATTTCATCCCAATTAATTTCTCTACAATGCTGATTGGATTCATTTGTGACTATTGAGTATTCATGGCACTGGATCCCCCAGAATTGGAAAGATGATCTCTATGTCTTTCCGATTAAACTTCTTCAGAAGTTTAAAGACCTCTTCCAGGTCATCCCTCATTCTGCTCATTCAAGAGGAAAGAGGCCCAACCTATTCAATCTTGCTGATAATTATAACCTCTTGTGCCCTCTTTTTAAAAAAATTGTTGCAACTTCTTCATTTATTCCTTTATTGTAAAATGGAGACTAGAACTATGCATACTGTTCTAAGTATGGTCACATCAAGATTTTAATATAATTTCTCTGCCTTTGAATTCTATTTTGCTAGAAAGTTAGTCCAGTGCCCCATTTGAACCCTAATTAATGGCTTTGTTGACCTGTGATGCTATTTTTAGTGTGATTCCCTGATCCTTTTGAGATTCCCCCATTTTGTGTCTTACATTCCATTGTATATTTGCCTTTCTTATTGATTCTATAAATTTGTATCACCTTATACTTATCTGTATTGAAATTAACTTTCCATTTAAAGACTTATTCTGCAAGTTTGTCAACTTTTTTGTGTTTTCTTGCAATCTTCCTCAACATTAACTATCCTACCTAATTTGCTGCTACCTGAAAATTTTAATATGGTACCTCTGATTCTCAAGACCAAATCTTGATATCAATGGTGAACAACAGTGGTCCCAGCACCATACCTGTATATTATCACTTCCCATCTTTTCAAATTGAGTAACTTTATACTTAGTCTGCTTGCTATCCATTCTGCTACTTGTCTCCTAAATCCATATGGTCTGACCTTACTCAGCTGTACCTTATTGAAAGCATTTTGCAAGACCATGTAGATTACATCTATTGCATTACCCTTGTCTACTCTTTATTATTTTCTCAAATAATTCAACAGGGTTGCTCAAGCATTACATTGCTATTACAATCCATGCAACTTTTCATGTTCGTGATGTTTTTCAATTGCAACTTTGAGGAAAGATGCTTTTACATTTCCCACCATCAACATAGGTTAACTGGTGTACAGCTCCAAAGATTTGTTCTATCTTTTCTTTTGAATATTGAAGTAACATTAGCTGCACAACAATCTTCTGGCACTATCCTATTAAATGTATATTATAATCTTTTTCGTGGCTTTTTTTTTGCCGTGAATGAATGCAATACAGAGGTTTTATCCTCTTTAGTTTAGTCAAGTTTGTCAATTATTTCATTTCTTTCTACGTTAAATGGCTTCATTTCTGCCATTTCACTGACAATATCTGACTTCATCTTGCACATCCCTCTGTAACCTTACCACTCAATTGTTGTCATTTTGCTACTCAGGGTTGTGTAGGATATTTGAATTTTTATTTTTGCATTTTAGTTTAATTTTATGGATCCTTGTTGCCTTCCTACTTGTTCTTATATTTCTGACAATCGTTACTAAGTTTGATTGCAGACAGGGGCTGGTGGAAATATAAATCACTGGAATATGCCCAGTGCGCTGGGATGAAACAGTTAAATGTAGTGACAAACTGGACAGGTCCCTCCCACAGACAATGTTGTCAGATTCAGAGTCCCCTATAAATACGTCATTCTATGCAATTAAATTTGGGGGGAACGTTTGAGGAGTGAGGAGATAATTTCACCTTTTTTTATTTTCTGTTTTCTTTTAATAGTCTGCTTTTTGAAGGATCGGGAATGATGTGGGAGCTGAAGTCTATCTCCTTTTGGAGGGCAGTCTTTGCAGAGTTTTTTGCCACCATGCTCTTCGTGTTTTTTGGACTGGGCTTTACCATGCGATGGTCTCCGGGCCCCATGAACGTGCTGCTGGTTTCTCTGGGTTTTGGCTTTGTCCTGGCTGCCCTGGTACAGGCGGTTGGACATGTCAGCGGGGCACACCTCAACCCGGCCGTTACCTTCGCCTACCTGCTGGGGGCGCAGCTGAGCATATTCCGCTGTGTAATGTACATTGTCGCTCAGCTCCTGGGGGCAGTGGCGGGGGCAGCTGTGCTGTATGGGGTCACCCCTCCCTCGGTACGGGGCAACCTGGGGCTCAACACGGTAAATATGTTGGCAAACGTACACTTAAGAGGAGAAAAAATGGTTAAAATATGAATCTGGCGGGGGAAAACAACAAAATCCTTACTTTGAAAGCAAGTATTAAATAGAAAAATAGATGTTCTGGAAAATCAAAGATTGATAAGAGTTACGAAAGGCGTTTCGAAAAATATGACGCTGTAAGCGTGTAGAGACCATAAATAGTACTTCTAAAAGTTTCCTTTATTGAATCAACGGGCTTGACTGAAACATCTTTGAGAATCAATTGGGGTAACGTTAACTAACTCAATTTTCAAAGTGTTAAGGATATGAAACACATTAATCGAGAATCTATACAATCAGATTGAACCGTTGTAAAATCTAAACTTTATCGAATTGATCATTTAATATTTGAAATAAAATACATTCGGAACTACGGTAAAACTTTTTCGTTGAAATAATAA